TAGTACATAGTTGTGCTGATGCTACTTGTCCCAGGGAACACCTGTACATGTGCGCTTTGGCGTGCAGCAAGTTGCCTGGGTGGGGTAGGGGAGGCTAGGGCCAGCACCTGGGCTGACCCCAGAAGCCTTACCTGAGATTTGGGGGCCTCCTGAGCCTTCCATGGTGGCAGTTTGGGTGCATGGAGCCCGGCTGGCAGCCAGAGTGTGGCTCCAGCTGGGAAAGCTCTGGTTTTGGGTGGCGCACTCTGCTGTCATGTGTGCCGCCTTGCTTTTTTCTGCTGTAGGTTTTCTTGACACTGGGATCTCCCAGTGTCAAAAAAACCCACTGTGTTGTGAATTAGCAGTGCGTTGAACACCTGGATGTGTGTCATGTGTGGTTCATGGCACCACAGATGGGTCTGCAGTGCTGCAAGCCGCACATGTGCACTTATCTGGATGTGCCCCTTTTCTTTAAATCAGATATGCCTAGTTCTCTCAGCCTTTCTTCCCGTGGCTTCCATTCTAAGCTTTTCATCACCATTGTCACTTGCCTCTGGATGCTCTCCATTTTTTGTCTACACCTTTCTTAAAATGTGAAGCCCAGAGCTGCACACAGTACTCCAGCTGAGGCATTTTCCAGTAGTGTGGTACTGTCACTTCTTGTGTCTTACATAGAGTACTCCTGTTAATACATCCCCAAATTGCTTTATGACAATGGCATCAAATTCTGGCTCATGGTTAGTCTGTAATTAATCAAAACCTCCTTCTTAGAAATACTACTACTTAGGCCAGTGATTCTCAACCAGAGAGCCAGAGCACCCTGGGGTGCCACCAGGTCCTTTGGAAGATGCCTCGAGGTACAAGGACATAGGCAGATAAGTGCAGGTTCTGGCTTTTTCCTGCCTAGACAATCTCCCAACCCCACTGGCTAGCCTTTATGCAAGCAGGTAAGCACTGTAATCTATACATTAGGTTTTGAAATTGGGTGCCACTCAGTTCACAAAAGTTATGGAGGTGTGCCTTAACTCCAGTGACGGGTGCCTTGAGTTGAACAAGGTTGAGAACCATTGGCCTAGCCAATTATCCCCATTTATGCTTTTAATTTTTTCATCCCTAGATGTAGCACCTTACATCTGCTGAATATCATTTTGTTGTCTACTGCCCAGTTCTCCAAGCATAGAACCATAGAAAAGCAGGGCTGGAAGGGATCTAGGGAGATAATTTAGTCCAACCCCTAGCCCAAGGCAGGATCATCCCTGACTAAAACGTCCCTGTCAAATGTTTGACTCAGGGCTGCAGGCAGAAATCTAAGCACTGAGAGAAGTGAGGTTTAACACAGAACTGCCCTCTCCAGTGCATTTCCTATTGTCTACCTCAGTGATGCTCAGCTAAGGTGTCACAGCTATAAGGTGTTCAAATATAATTTGAGACTTCAAGTATGAATTTATAGTATCAAAATCATTTTCTCCTGTTGTGGTCTTTCTGTGTTCTTTGCAACAGAAAAAAATACTCTATTATTTTTCTATATTCAAAAAACAAGTGAAAACTAAGAACTCGCATTTTCCAAGGGGTATCTTGGAAATAGGTACTAATGTAGGGTGCCTTCGGTCAAAAAAGGTTGAGAACCACTGGTCCAGCTCTGGGTAGTTCTCTGCTCAGCATGAAGGTGTTTTGGGGTGACTAAAGCATCTAAGTCACTTCCTGTACTGTATATGAAATTTAGGTGCTTATCTCTGGGTTATGGATTCTAATCTGGGACCCTAAGTCTTTTTATTGGTCTAGCCATTACAAATGGAGGAGCAACACAGTAAAGCCTTTTATTTGTATAGATAAAACTGAATTTGTGTTAAGAAAAAACGTTCTTAATTTTTTTTCTTTTGTTTAAATGTACCACAGCATTGAGAGATTTATGTTACTTCGCTGCAAAAGCAATAACAAGCATAAAATGACTGCAGATAAATTGTTTGGCTATGCTGTGGGATATCTGCTCCAAAACTCCTGCCTGTGTACCATATTTTTACCTGCATGTTGCTGATAATCATGTAGTACTTATTTATACCCTCCTCTTTGAAAAATATCTGTTCTCCCCAAGGTTGAAAGGAGTGAATCAAAACAGTTTCCCTGCATCCCACTGAAGTTTCAGAAGCATCCTAGTATATTAGAGCAAGCAACATTTCTTCTTGCTTGAATATTGTGGGTATATATTGGCAACTCATGGGGATAAGTCTGAGATCTCTACACCCAGTTTTCTAAAAAAGCTTTGATCACTGGGGCCATGCCAAGCATGTCTGAAGCCATAGACTACTCCAGTCTGTGTGTCTAAAGGCAACCTTAAGAGCTTCTGAAGCAAGTCTGGAAGTAAAATGATTTAAGTCCTTCTCAATCCTATCTCTGCTACAGTCAGTCATATTTACACTTTCAGTATATCTGAACTTTGCTAGCTCCAGATTGGGTGGGGAGGTGCAGGGAAGGGGACGGGAATGGAAATGGAGTGCTGCAGAACCACTTTTATCCTTTCTCTCTGAGTTGGATGTGAGGATTAGGCCCCAAACTTGGAAAGTGGCCAATCAGCAAGATGCTGTGCGTGTTTTATGTAAGAAAAATGCCTGACATTTATGGTGACAATGTTTCTTTCAGTAGCAGGAAAAGAAAGGTGAGTCTTCTTGTTGGCTTTCAAAAGGTTCTTAAATGAACCAAAATACTAATATCATTTGGAAAAAAAATATAGAAAATTCAAATGCTCCATGAAGAATTACTGTTTTAAGTCTGAAGATTAAAACCAACGATTTCATCAGGAAGCAGAGAGTCTAGTCTTTAAACCTTAACTATGGAACACTGCTACTGCTGTTCCATCATCCAGCCTGAAGTGCTGCATTCAACTTAAAATGTAATGGTGTGAATTTCAAAATATGCTGTAAACACACAGTATATTTTTTCTGGGAATAGTTTTTCTGAAGTTCTTTCTTTTGTGCTATAACCAAGTGATAGCTTAGAGCAGTGGTACCCAACGTTTTGTCCCTGTGTGCCAGACCAAATGGGACAGGGTCAGTCCATGGGTCTGATCCTGTGTGGGGTTGGTCTGCAGGTAAAATCCAAAGTGCCGGTCTGACCCTGTATGCTCAATCTAGCCATATACTAACCCAACCCTACATGCATGGATCTGACCATGACGGGACCCCACACACCAGCCTGAACATGTGGTGGTGCAATCTGCAGTGTAGGGCCACGTTATCTGGTCAGCTGGCTTCCCCACAGGTCTGGAAGTAGAGGAGTAGCAATTAATGTTGCCACTGCTCCCCTGCCACCAAATTTAGGGACCCTTGGGGAGCCCCAGGGGTTGGCTCCATAGGCTAGATGTGGCCCATGGGCTGGATGTTGAGCACCACTGGCTTAGAGCAACATTACTGAAGTATCTGAATCATAGGCACCTGGGCAGATATCAGAAACTGTTTTAAAGTGTGGTGGATTTAAATAAAATTATGATCTAAAAAAAGCAAAATTATGTTTTTTAAAAATCTTACATTCCCAAGGACCAGTATTATGAGCAGGATAGACAAGCTTTTCCTGCCAACTTCTGAATTCACTCAGATTATGTAAACTCCAAAGTGATGTGAATTTGAACATTATTGGGTTTGGTTTTTGTTTTGAATTGTGGAAAAAGCCATGCAGATGCCCAAAGATGCAAAACAGATTTAAAAAAAATGGTGCTGAAAGTGAAATGCAGGACAGAGACACAGTGACAGACTGAAGTGAAAGCACAGGTGTAAAGCACAAAGAAGAGTGAAGAAATTCTAAGGAGATGCCACACAGAATATATGTTGTACCAACTTAGCTTTTAGATAGTTCTCCTAACCCCAGTACATGGAAGATAAAACAAGTTTGTATGTTCAAGCAATCTTGGAAGGCATTAAAAAGCAACATTATTCTATATTTACAGGAAAGAGATTCAGGAACCCTTACTAGTTCTGAAAGCTCAAAAACTTTCCCAAACGACCTACATTTTGCCAATTTGTACTTGTGTTCCTGTCAATCAATACAGATTAATACCCCCACCCTCCCCAGATCTCCATACCTCATTGTTAAGTCTGTTGATCTGCTGTTTGGTTTCTTCTGCTTTGATAACTAGCACTGCAGCACCAACTTCAGATTCTGTAAATAATTCATACACATGACAATGGTAGAAATTATGAAAGTAGGTAATTTAGCAAGTCAATAATATGAAATTTTCCCTTGTCCACTCATGTAAGTTTCATCTCCAGTTTGATTGGAACCAAATGAAATTGACCATAAACAGCTATTAGCTGTTTAATACAAAATGTACTGGAAATATAAATGAGGTATTGGGGGAAGCTAGCGCTGGCACTCTTGCCTAGTAACTATTCTAAGACGACAGATTGACAGCCTTGGTGACTGAAGTTCTGATAATTGGGCAGATTTTTAAAATCACATAAGTATAAACACTACAGTCCTGTTCTGCAGCCATTTTTTCCCCTGACACATTAGTGTCACAATGGCAACTACACAAATGCTACATAATTATGTAGGAACTGCTTACTCATCTAGGAGAGGGAAATGGGAAACACAATCTGAGCTGGACAGCTAATGTCAGTACTAGCCTGTTGTTTTTTCATTGCCAGATGTTATATTCATGTCCTGTTTGCTGCTACAATTCATTAGTCTTTTCAAAGAGCAGTTCATCTAAGGCTGCCTAGCATCTCCTGCTGCTCATGGTTTCACTCTTAATTTCCGATACATGGTTAGCACCCTAAGAACTACAAGTTAATAATAAAGAGTTCTTTAATAAGGAAACCTACAGTGAAGTTCTAGTATAGTTTTTGAAGGATTTTTTCCAGGTCAGTCACTTACAGGATTTAACCTGCAATGTGTTGAGCTCCTTCAGTGCCCATTAACTTCAATGAGGTTGAGGACACTCAGAACCTCGCTCAGATCAGCCTCTTCATATATAGTACGAAGAATGATATAGCAGAAATACCAGACACCTGATGAGCCATTCATCTGGACCACTCATGGGCAGAAACAGGGAAACTGGCTCAGATATAGTGAAGACATCCAGTTGGACTCTCATAACTTCTAAGAATTGTGAATAGTGTGGTAAGGTAGTTGCATATTAAATCCATTTGTGTCATATGTAAAGGAATCATGGAAATATGGTCAAAAGTCAGTCACCAAACTACATGCTTCAATGAGTGATTTATCAGATGGATAAATATAGCACTAACCCCCAATTGTAGGTGATACTCTCGACTCCTGTCGCAGTTGTTCAGAGCGAAAGTCAAAAGTCTCACATTCCTCATTATTGTTTCCATCTTCTATCCCATCAACAATCCTGTTTAAAAAAAAAAAGGAATACTGGCTTTGAATATTTACACAGATACCAGACTTCATAGTATAAATGTTTGTGTTCATACTCAGGATGCATAGCAATGCTTGAAAAAGCAAGGCTGAATTCTGCCTGACACCAACCTTAGGTTCCTAGCACATGTTATATTTGTGGTATGATTAAAGCATTAATTGTGCCATAGATAGTAACAGTGTTAAATGTGCACCTGATTTATGGCACCATAAAGTGGCAAACCAGCCACCAAGACATTCCACAAAATATGTGGACCATCTTTGTGACTCCTTTGTATGGCACCATAAATTGAATGTGTAGCACTCCTGCACCTGAAGCTGTCCCAGGGCTGAGGTCAAGAATTAACTGGGTGCAGCTTCACAATGGCACAGTTTGACTTGGTGGACTTTTATACCCTAGCCCAAAAATTGCACTTCCTGCCATATACATCTGCATCCCAATTCCATGTATGCCACTGTTTTAACATCTGCCAGGGGTCTTGGAGAAATATAAATTCCATTACTGGTATGAGGAACTCAGTTGAGGGACTAAGGATTTAATATGATCAAATTTAGGTTGAATATCTTTAACTATAGTTTCAAAATTACCCTAATTTTAACATTAGGTTCTAAAACCTCTAGTCCAGTCTACTTATATTTCCTTGCATTTTTCATATCCTAAACCTGGGCAGTCCAACTTAATTTGCCATGTAGACTGGACCAAGCCCATGGGATTTCTTGTGGGCCAGACAATTTGCTTCTGGCGGTGGGATGGTGACTTGTTAGTGTGGCTGTGGAACCTTGGAGATTAATATTGCACTGCTTCTGCTCACCCTTACCTTTCCTGCCACCAATTTGAGTCACCAGAGGCAAACAAAGAACTCAAATTTGGTGGCAGGCATAGGAGAGTGTGTGTATGTGTATGGGGGAGGCGCAAATAACAGCAGCATTCTCTCCCCTGAATTCCAGGGTTACCCAGGCTGCAATTTAACCCCTCCTAGGCTGCCACTTGCTGCTTCTGCACAATAATGCTCACCCACACTCTAGCTTGCAAACCTTGGAGGCCATCTCATTATTTGGATGGCCTGTGCTGCCCTATACTCCATACAGCCCAGTGGATGGATGGACTATGAAGGCAACATTTTTGGGATGACAGTCAAGTGATGGAGGCTGTGCAACAGTAGCTGCACAACAACAAGGACTTTTACAAGGTCATTCTTACTCCTTCTGTTGAAACTGTTCCACTTGTTATGGAATTCTAGTTCCTCCTCCAAGATCGATTTCCTTTTTTTCCTACCCAATATCTTCCAAACTGCCCTCTGACCACAACGGTAGCCTCAGGGCTGTGGGAAACAGATGGAGCTCTCAGAGAGAATTCTGGTTGGCTCAGCAAGAATTCTCCTTAGGTATCCAAGGAAAATACATACTAGAGTTAAACTTGAGGTATGGGATGAAGTTCCTGCCCTCATGCTGCCTTTTACTAGACAGAAAGACAGCACAGAAGTACGATGTTGGAAGGGAGCATGTATATACTCGCCTAGGCATATTGCAACTGGATTTACTAAAAGGGAGCCTGGCTTCTCATATGCCTGTCCTCTTTCTTATGCTCCCACACAAGGACAGGAAAAATCATAGCCCTTGGTTAGAGTCACATTTACCTTTTAATACTAATAGGAGGGAAAACATGTGTTTTGGGATTTGGAGGTGTTTTTTCTTCCTCCCTCCTTTCTCTTCATTTAGTCAACATAATCTGATATTTTTAGTAGTTTGGGCTCAGGAATTCAGTGAAATGATTTTGGCAGGAAGAATGATGCATCTCATAATCATGTGTGTTATGGGCCATTTTTTCTGTCTAACTACTTCTGCAAATGCAAAATTATTTATGGAAATAACAGTGTGTGTAACAAAGCACCTGCAGTCTGCTCCCACAAAACTGTGTGCTATTGTCTGGCTGTGTATGCACATGATTAATGAACAAAATTTTAATAGGCACCATGAAAGAATAATTTCCTGAACTACCACTCATTTTCCACAGGCCATTGAACAACTATCAAACAGTAATGACTTTCCATTGTAACTAACCTGAGCCAAATTCAAACATGTGACCTACTGTAGAGATGAAAGGCATTTCATTACCCATTCCTTGAACTCCTTTTACTAATGCTGAAGCTGGCCTGGAACATGCTCCTCTATGTTATCAACACAAGGGTTAGTTTGTTGCATGCTCTTACATGAATTTGGGCTATATGGAGCACAGTTCTACATGAATTTGGGGCAACACATTTGAAGATGGAAGTATTTCTACATGCATATTATAAAATGTCTAGTATCACTGGCCCTTTCTTATGTCATGTCTTCTAAATAAATTCTGAATAAATAAATGTGGAATTAATGGTTTCTACTTTAGCTTCTAAAGTCTAGCTTTAAAAGTTATTATTTTAGCTTGCTAGTGAAGAGGAGAATTTTTGGGGAAAAAAAACCAAACAAACTTCCAAGTACTTGGAGGATGTGAAATAAAATCCCCAAACAAGATACTGTATTTCACCAGTTTAAAGCCACTGGCTTCCAAGGAACTATAGTGATATATACCCCCTGAGAGTCTACTGCAGTGAGTTGAAAAAAAATTGCCTAACTGGTGTTACCAGTAATGATGTAATTCCAAATTTGTTTTAATAATACTTTTATACTAGTACCCCATGATGTATTTTATTTTATGCTGCCATTTTTTCCTCTGAGAGGAATATATTATTATACAAGGCTGCAATGATAAAGACTAAGGCCAACATGTGAAATTCAGGTGCCAGAAGTCCATCACCTTAAACAATAGTTAATCATCTGAAGATTTTGCATATCATCATGGATGCTGAGCACCTGTACTTTCCATTGATGAATGATTTATCCTATCATACAGCCCTGGAATGTAACAATTACCTCTGTAAGGGGATCAAATAACAATGAGTTCCTTTCTCTTTCCTTGCAGAATGGATGGGAGTTCAAGACTTCAGGAAATAAAGTTATATTGAAGACAAAAACATTTTATAGCACCAAGAAAAAGTCATTATACTTCAAATCAAAATGATGGGGTACAAAGATGTATGTTCATGGCTATTACCTTGGGCTGAGGTCAGGGGAGCCAACGGTGCTCAGATTTGAAAGGGGAAGTTTTAGGTTTTTCTCCTTCTTTCTGGAGTAGTAATTGAGTTCAGTTTCATGTTTGGTTCTTGAGGGGTTTGAGCCACAAGCTCGGATAGGCGAGTGAATGGGCACAGTTCCTGAGGCCAGCTGTTTCAAGTTTTTCCCTAGATAACTTTTATTGCTTCCAACCTTCTTTTGGTGTGAGGAGCTTGTGCTTCTTGTATGGATTGGAGAAAGGGTAGTACTGTCTTCTTCTCCTTCCTCCTCTTCCTCCTCATCTTCCACAATGGATGGGAGTGTCTTGTTTATGCTTCCATTTCCCTTAGGCTCTGTCTAAAATATGGATAATTTATATCAAAATAAATTTCAAAGCTCAGAATTGCAGGGGCAGTTCTGATGACTTCTTACTAGAACTAATGCTATTTTGAAACCTGCCTGTTACTTATCTATGTCATTCATATATAAGCATATTAAATATACCATATTTTTTCATGTACAGCAACAAACTTTTTTCAAAAAACAGCTGCTGGAAATTGCAGTGTATTATATGTGAGATATATGGCAAGCAAGGTGAATATTTTATTCCAGGGCATGTTGTATGTAAGAATTTAAGGGTGTGTGTGTGTTTATATGTGCATGCATGCACATGCATGGGTTAGTGTGTGTGTATGTGTGTGCACGTGAGTGTGTGCATGTGCACGTGTGTGTAATTTTTTTTTATAGAACTACAACTATTCAACCCATCACAAATGTTATTTGTTACCAAGAAATGTTGCCTAACTTAAGTTCTTAAAAGCTATGGTGACTAACATGGGATACTGATACTGAAATCCTATGGAAAGTATTCATATTTCTCCAGGGGATGAAGTAATATCAAAAGGCCAATCTGTATGGAAAATAAAATGGCCACATGATAAGTTATCATATTAGACAGCATTTGTATGATGAGCATACCATATATGAGGCTGCTCTGATAAGGCCTTATATTGTACATAGAAAGGACTTTGCAACACAAATTGAACCCTCCAGCTCTATCAAGTTGGTTGAGTAAATATCCTGGCCTCAGTTTTTTCAGGGATGCTAAGACCTTACTTAGGGCCAGATTCAGAACCCATTGTAGGTGAAAAACAACATTAGGCAGGATTTATGCACCCAAGTAAAAAAAAAGTGATCAAGATTGACCCTGTTCCAGGAATCACACAACCTTTTGGTGTCTGGATTCATGAGGCACTTCCATTTTGGCTTGAAATGATACCTAGGTATTTTGGCTTCTGTTACTATGCCTACTCCCAAGTAAGGCAGATTGACCACTATGGGTGAAAACAGATGTTACACTGTGCCACCATAACAATTTTTTCCGGTGAAATAAAGTGAAGGCAAACAGACGTCTCTGGCACAACAAATGTTCAAATTTGAGGCCGTGACAGGAGGTACTAGTAAACTGGGCTGCTTTATTGCAGCCCACATCTGTTTGTTTATAGTGGGACAGCACAGGCAGCTTTGCTTTCCAGCTTCGTTTCCATTTGCTGTCCAGATGCCCTAGGAAAGGGGCCCCATGGGTTGAGGGGTCTGGTTCTGCACACCCTGGAAATTCCCAAACAGGACTGGGCCCCTCAAGCCTTGGCGCTGCCAGCCTCACTTTCCTTGCTTACCCAGATGGGTCCCTCCAGGGATGCATCTGGGCAAGGAGGAAAAATCAGGGCTTTGAGGTGTATGTCTGTACCTTGCAGCAGTGATATGTGTAGGGCAATCCCTCTGCAGGGGATTTCCCTGCATGTTCCTGCAAGCACATCCTACAAGGGTTCCCTACACCCCACATGAAAGTACATGAAGCAAAATCCCCTGCTCCCCAACATGGGGGGCATGGCAATTGGCAACATCTGCAGACATATCACAGCACAGCTGATTGTGCTCCACTGACAACATCTGTTTCCAACTGAGAGCCTAACTATCACTTAAGCACTACTATGAAGCAGATCAGTGCTGGAAGGTGCCTATAGTTTGCTTATTCCTTAGACAAACAAAAGACTGCTTTTTACACTTTTTTACACAATATGTAATTAATCATTGCTGTAAGACATTATGGAGGCTGATAATTTAACTAAGTTCAGAAGGGGATTGGACAAGACGCAGAAGATGAGCCCTTTAGTGGGTGTTAAGCATAATAACTAGGGATACACCCACAGAATTAGGACTTCCTAGGCCTCTGAATGCTGGAAACTACAGAAGCAGAAAGGCAGGGATCATATCCCTAGGGCCTGCACAAGTTCTCTTTGTCTTAGTATTTACTGCTTGGCACTGTGAAGAAAGGATACTGGACTCATTGGACCTATGGTCTGCCTCAGTATGTCTTCCATTAGGCTGTTACAGATCACACCTTGAGCCAGCATGGACTTTATTACAAGCAACACCATATTTTGGCAGCACCACCTACCTTTTACATGGTAGACTAGAGGTTAGAACTTTCACTGAAGAAGAGAGAGACCTGGTTTCTGGGCTTTCCTTACACTGAAGGGACTTCCAACACACATGGCTTACATCCTAGGAGAGTAACCTAGCCACCAGGCTATATTGGGCAGGAGCCCTTTTTCCCCCTTTTGTTGAAGCTAGACCACTTGGGAGCCAAAAATGTCATTCATGGGGCTGGAAGAGGAGCAAGCAACATGAAGCACCACTATGGTCTAATGCAAAAGGCACTCCTAAGAGAGGAGGCACCAGCAATTCTAATTCCTG